AGAAAAATGATTGTGAATCCAATCCTTTATTCCAAATGTCAGAAATTTTACAAATAAAAAACCCCTCATATGATTACACATCACAGATGATTCTACCATCTTTTATTCCAATAGATAATACAAAAAAATTCTAATGCAGCAACTAACTGGTATACATTGAATTGCATACAAAGATTGATCTAATCTTAAATTAAAAAAAAAAAAACATTTTATTCTGCAACATCCTAATAATTATACACAAATTATACCTACATCAGTTGGTGAAAGAAGATAAATTATTCTATGCGGATGCCGGATGCAGCTCTATATCTGGAGGTGAATCAGGTGCAATCACATCAGCATACCGAGCCGTGGTACCGAGCAAAAGAATGACGTGACGCATTCTGATTGGTCTCCGGAGGGTGTTCGACGTCTGCACAGAATAATTTTTCGTGAAAGAAATGACTATTGCGCAGAGCCAAAGATGCTTGTTGTTTTCTTTTTCTTTTTTCATTATTATCACTTCCTTCTTCATTATTAAGGGATAAGAGGGTCGGCTCATCAGTGTCAACGAGGTGTGGACACACTAACCCAAAGATTTAAGCCTTCAGAAATCCATTCTCATGTAGGTATGAAATCACTTGCTTGGCCATGGTGCCTGGAGGAGGACACTCTCCATCTGCTGGTGAGATGACTATCTGAAATGGTATAAGTGACAGTAAGAGAGGATACTATAACCAGAAATTAATATATATATATATATAAACTGCTAAGATCAGGCTAGTATTTCCAGTAGCCAAATACATTAGCTAACCTCACAATTCAAAGGTGGCTCGTAAGTATCATCAACACCAGTAAAACCTGCAGGATTCAGTTATTTCCTCAAATAAGTTCAGGTGATAAGGAATCTTAAATGTAATTTACCCGTAGGAATATTTCCTCCTTTTTGTTTCTTAACAAATCTCATCAGTGATGATAATATTTGTACCTTTTGTGATTTTAATCAGAAATAGATTTGAAACCTGAATCATACCTTTTATCTTTCCTTCTCGTGCGA